GATAGTGTGCTGTAGTTCAACAAATCTGTGCTGGGGGTTTACTGAGAACATTGTGTTGTTCACAGAAAGTGCTTCTTACAATGATATCTTGGGTAACTGGATGCTATTTCTGTCTGCAGCATCCTGATTTAACTGCATGGATATATGCTCAATCCTCAAAACTGATAATAAAGAAGATTTCCTCAGCAAAGCTTCAGACTGTTCTATAATACACTTAGACACACCAGGTTACTGTTTATATGTGCTTGTGTTGGGTTCACATGCTTCTTCTGTAGAAGTTGTGTTCTGATATCCACATTCTCTCTCTCTCTCTCTCTCTCTCTCTCTCTCAAAATATTGTTTAATTATTTGATAAATATTTATTAAGTACTTGATTTATACAAAATAATGTTTGTAAGTTACCATATGCACTACCTCACATAATCATCCCCAAACTTTGTCCACAGATGAAATTAAAGTAGAATTAAATGCTTTGTCATTTGAATGATTATAAACTGGAAAAATGTAAATAATTTAATTACTTCCTTTGCTGCATAAGTACATGTACTCAGTACAGTGAAATTTTATGACTCAACCAGTCTTCAGAATTATTACTAACATATTATCTTCTTCTAAAAATAGATATTGCTCCAATAAACTGAATTCTGTTTGTTTACACTTAAGTCATTTGGGGGGGTTATGAACTGTTCACTGGTTATTTCCTTTATTTTCAGAGGTTATTCTTCTATTTGAATTATAATTAGGCTATTTAAATTTAATTCTGAGGAATCTTAGAGAATTGCTTAAATCTTTATAGTCATAAATTAAAACAGAACTTCAGTTGTTTTTGTGAGGTTTAAGATATGCTATTTACTGAAGCATGCAGCTTCATTGAACAGTTGTTCTTATTGAAGGAATGTAGTTACTGTGATTTAATTTTCTTTTTATTACAAGTCATTCCTGGTAAGACAGTTTTCTGCTTTTGAGAGGTGGTCTAATAGAAGCTTACTTAAAATAGTGATCTGTTTTTACAAGTGGTGTCATCGATACGGTAGGCAAAGGGCACAGGGTGCTAGCATGTGAAAGTATAGGTTAGATGGCAATGTAGTGCTATGCTTATTGTAACCAATAATTTAGTGTCAGCAAAGTGAGGCCATCGTTTTGTTTTAAATGCATTCAGTTTTCTTGACATGAAAAATAGGCAAAAGTTTCATGCTTCTTCAAAATGCAAAATGCAAAAAGGGCAAATCAAGTTTATATAGGTGTTTCACGTGTTAGCATCCTTAAGCATCATTCATGTGAAATGATCCAAGCCAATGCTGGAGTATTCATGCCACAGTGTTTACTTAGTAGGAGTCCTGTTTAAATAATATTACCTTTCCTTGAAAGATATATCAGTTAAAGGATTTCATGTTCCCATCAGGGGCTAACCTAAGGTGGGGAAATTTTACCTCCTGTTGTCCCTTTTGTCTCCCTCTGAGTGGTAGGTTGAGGCTTTCTGCTTTTCTGTTGGAGAAACAGAATGTTTTGTGAAAGCATTAAATATGAAGACTTTGATTTACTGAAACATAATCTTATTGTACAATGAACATTTGAGTTCCTGTATTTCGGGTGCTCAGGTAACTTCTGTGAAGGTATAGAGAGCGTCATATAGGGAGCTTACCCTGGGTTCATTGGAAAGTAGAAAGTGGACCACAGCAGTTATACACCTTCAAAGACATGGCTCTATTTCCTCTACTCTCCATAAACTATAAAGAACATCTTTATTCCCAGTCTACATCTGAAAGGTGATCTGCATCATTATCTGTAGGAAAAAGTAAGCCACAGTGGTAGTGGAGGTCATGGGGGTTTTCCACACTGGCAGGTCCCACATATACGAGAAGGTCTAAGGTTCCAAAGGCAGGAGGTGTTGGCGACGGTAGGCCCCAATGACGCGAGGAAGTCCTTGGTTCCAAAAGGGTTTATTGTCATGGCGGATGGTGGATGGATCTGGAAGTATGCCCAGTAAAACTCAGGCCAGACCTGAGTTAAATAGGAAGGGAGAGAGGGGGAGGGCCTGGGGAAGCATGCTTAATTTGCTCCGCCCTCTGGCCTTCATTAGTATGTAAATCCCTAGGGCCTGAGGCCTATGGTCACGCCCTCCAACTGTGCACTTTGGGAGGGGCTGTAATGGCCAACGTGACTGAACAACGTAGGTCTATGGAGACAAGACTTCAGTGTCAGGACCCTGGGTTCTGGGGACGTGGACGAACTCCTGTTCTCACTGAGAGTCTCGGGGTTCTAGGCCCATGTGCAGCCATGAGCCAGGATACCCTTACACAGTCCCACAACTGTCCATTCATCAATCATTCAAGAAGCATTCTCAACATATGCACACTGTGCCAAAGCATGAACTACACACAGGAACTAAAGAACCCAAGCCATAGCCTAAAGAAGCGAACAGGGTGAGAGCAAAAATGGGGACCTAGCACTGGATTTAAAATAAGAATTGATAAAGATCTCTATGTGTGACAGGCGTACATTAGTAACAGCAGAGATTGACTATTCATTTGTTCATAGTAGAAAAGAGGAAAGAGAGGTGGAAGAAGAAAACAGCCACCTTCAGGCAAAGACACAAGAGAAACAGCAATAGAAAAAGAAGATAGCACATATGAGCAAGACATTGTATTGGTTACATCACACCTTGGGGCAAGTACTTGAGAGAAGGAGCTGAAAGGAGAAAAACTACCATGGCTCACTGTTTTCAGGGGGATTTCAGTTTATCTGTGGTAGTAAAGGTAGAGAGAAGGATATCCCAAAGGCCCAGAGAGCCGAGTTATTAACCTTCAAAGGCCCAGCTCTGCACCTACCAGTTAAGTACTACCTTCTAAACACCTCACAATATTTCCAAACAGTGCCACCAGATAGGAAACAAACACTCAAAGCATGAGCCCGTGGAGGACATTTCACTTTTAAACAACGAGGTATGAATAGAAATAAGAAAAGGCAGCATAATTAAAAATAAGTTTTTATATCAGATATTCAGAGCAAACAGAAGAGACCCCAGTTGAAGTCAGGGAGTTACGCAACAGTCAATAACAGTTGGCCCAGGATGTCTTGGCTAGAAATTTAAACATTATAATTTAGAATGGAGAGTGGCTGAGCTGACGGAATTAGACAAATGGTCAGATTTATATTGAAGGGCAGGTGGTTTTACTTACATTTGCTCCTTCTGCTCTGTCACTGGAAAAAATCTGGACAATAAAACAAAAAGAGTGCTGTCATACAACCTGTCAACCAGTGCTACCCAAAGCCCTTGTCCTTCCTCTTGTCTTCTTGCTCACTGGAAAGCCCCCATTCTGGGAGAAAAACAAAACACAGAATTTAAAGTTAGAAGCAAATGTAAACATCTTGTGAGGGCAAAAAGGTTTTCTATGATTCACACACACACACACACAGTCCCAATAATCAAAATGTATGTTCATCGTCTCAGACCTCATCAGGAAAGTTAAGGGGTGTGTGTGTGTGTGTGTGTGTGTGTGTGTGTGTGTGTGTGTAGCAGATAGCAGTTTATACAGAAATTCATAATTGATCAAGATCCAAAGAGTATCTGTGGAATGTGCAGGTGCTCAGTCACAAATGAGGTATCTATAATTCTCTCTTCTCTAAGGCCAGTTATCATGGCCTGAACAAGATCTGCACATGGTCAAGGCCGTCAAAATTCCAGCATGGAGAGAGGGTAGACTCATGAGTCCCTTGAGCCTAATTGAGGAGCTATTGACAGTTGATAACTTTTGGTAAAGAGAGAGTCTGTTCTCTTTAACGATGTATTCACTGCTATGTTGCCCACTCTCCAACGAATGGCCTCCCATTCCTGAATATATGGCCAGCAAAAACTGGTATCTGTGGGCTATAAAAACAGGGGAAATGATTCAGCAAATAAAGTGCCTACTGTACAAGAATAAAAATCCTAGTAGATTCACACACACACACACACACACACACAAGCACATCAGCACACATATGGCTTGCAATACAAGTGCTAGGGAGGTAGAGACAAAATGGTCACTCTGGCTTGCTTACTGGCTAGCCAGCCTAGGTGAACCAAGGAATTCCAAGTTCAGTGAGGGACCATAACTGAAGAAAGTTAAAGAGTGACTTGTGAAAGATACCCAAAGTAAATCTCCAGGCAGCACACTCTAATTTACACACGGGGGGTGGGGGGGGAGGCGGGGGAGGAGGAAGACAGAGAGACAGAGACAGAAAGAGACAGAAACAGAGAAAGAGACAGAGAGAGAGAGAGAGAGAGAGAGAGAGAGAGAGAGAGAGAGAGAGAGCAGTTCTTATTCAAAAAATAAGTGCTTACAAAAGTTTGTCACATACAATAGCACAAAACATCAAAGACATTTGGGCTCTGGGTAGAAAGTTTCTCTAACAATTCTTCATAACGGACCTGTGACTCTTAAAAGTTGGAGACCCCAGTCTACATACAAACAGAAACTAGATTACACAGACTTTTCAATGTGGAATCAAAATCTGGATAGACAAGATAAGTTTAATAGTAAAGTCATGTTTCATCACTAGAGATGGGCACTTTGGCAAAGCAGACTCCTTGCTTTAAATTAGAACCTTCATGCATGTTTCACTAGTTAATCATTCGCATATATCCCTTTGTTTAAAACTAGGCACAGACAGGAAGGTGAGCAATTAGAAAGGAAGAAAACAAGTCAACGGGGCAGAGTAATCTTTTTAAACAATTTGACTCAACTTGTTTAATCCTCTCATCTTAAATTATTCACAGGGGCATTTTGATTCTTGAAAGTTCATAAACAGAGTGCAAATCACCCAAGCAGAAGTAATTTACTGCTTTTAAGTCAAAGCCCTGCTTAGCTAGAGAGTCGGCTGTAGGAATTAACCAGAACAAAATCCTGATTAAACAACTAATTGGTTTGTCTACTAATGGAAAGAAAAACAAAGCACAGCTCTCCTCTTAGAGATACAGGGTCATAAAGTCGAAGTCTTTCAGACCTGCCTCAGAGAAGATGTTAAAATCACTGACAGTAAAATTTAACAAAGTGAAGCCCATGGAAGGGAAGACCGAGAAGAAACCCTGCCCCCACCTGAGCAGTCGGTCTCAGCCATCCATAGTACAGGTATGTTATTTATGTTCCTAAGTCAGTCTTGAGTCTCATCCTTTGTCTGCTAATGGATGCTAACAAATGCTGTCATATGGAAGATTGGTCAGCAGGTTTTCATGGTAACATCTAGATTGGGTACTGCTTAAACCATGTTCTTATTAATTTATATATTCTGCATATGCATATTTAAAGGGAGCATAATAATGTTAGGGGATATATTTGGTCTTGGAAGACTTTTTTGTTGCTAATTTCATTTTCTCACAGGTTGCACAGAAATAACTAATAGGTCTTTTACTTGAAGAGCATAAGAGTTTTCAGCACTAACTATGCAGTGGGCAGTGTGCTGAGCCCTTTGCAAGCACTGACATCTGTGAGACAAAATCCTGCTCTAACACTGCTAACACACAGCTAGAACATGACTGAGGCTGTACTAGATCCCACTCTATAAGAAGTACAGCAGAAACCCCATCACCATCCTGGCTGCATGGTGACAGATGAGAGGGAGCTATGAGTCAACCCTTCCAGATGAGTGTCCCACAGACTACAGGACACTTAGAGGGAAAGCAGAACAGTTGCTTTTCAAGACCCATCTCCCCCTGAAGCAGCCATGCTAGAGGAGAGCTTAGATTATACCCTGGCAGAGAAGCTCTTGAGTAGAGCCTGTGCCCTTTGGCAGCTGTGATAGTGGAATGTTAATTTTGAGAAGGCCTGTTGGTAACAGATTCTGGGAATTCTGTCTGGGAATGCTTGGTGTCTGTTGTTTCTAAGTACATGTGGGAAATAGGTGAAACAGCTTTTTTTTAAAGTTTTCTATTAAAAATTCTAAATGTAACAATCACAAATGTTAGAATGCTATGTTCTCCCATAAAATACCTTTTTCAATGGCATATAAATACAAATAATTTAAATCCTATAAGGAAATATCTAAAAATAAAAACAAATCAAATTGTATTGTGCTTTCAAAAGTAGCCTTTTAAAGCTCAATCAAAAGGTTCCTGTGAAATTTCTGTGTATCAACAACTAATAGCTAAAGAAACACAAAGCCAGCCCAATACAAACATGGTACTTTTCTTCTGAACATGACATTGTTCATATGTCTATATTTATACAATGTATAAAGACTACAATGGAAAATTTTACAAATAACATCAAAACATGATGTGAAGAAGTTGTACAGCTTATTATTATTATTATTATTATTATTATTATTAATAGATGGTCCTAACTCATTCCTCCACTATGTGCATGTAGTTAGCCATCCAAACAATTTTGTATTCTATAAAAAATAGCGCCAGCCTTGCCTAACATATGTGGTTACTGTGAGATTTAAATGAAGTTGTCTTATATAGTTAGTCTTCAGTACTCATACATAATGTCAGAGTCCATATTACAACACACAAGATACTCAGAGTCTTTGTTCCTAATTACTTGCTCATCTTCCACCCCCTTCACAACCACACCTTGGGCTTTTGATCTACCTCAGTCACCTACTACTTCTTTTTATTTGTCCTTTCCCCTTCCTTTCTACTGCAGAACAGTTTACTTTCGAGCACCATTTCGATTTCCTAAAGGTATTTTCTCATCATCTACATTTCCTTTTGGGGGGTGGAGGCTGGAGGCTAGTATTCAGGTGTATGTGTACGGTCGTATGTATGCATGCATGCTTCAAAGCCAGAGGTTAACCACAGGTGCCATTCTTCAGGAATTGTCTTCCACATACTGAGAACTAAGGCCCACCACTTCAGCTAGGTTGATGTCCTGGAAGCTCCAGGCATCTGGTGAGATACAGCCCCAGCATTAGTATTATACTCGCCTGCCAGCATATCTGGCATTTTATGTCCAGGTCCTCATCCTTGGGCACCAAGTGCTTTACCAACTATCTCTCCATCCTATTTTTTCACACTCACAGTTTTTTGTTCCCTCTACTAAAATTTGGCAGCTGACCTTCCTGCCCTGTAAACTTTGTTCTGTGTCAATGCATCCTTATAGGAACATCATCAGTTAGCCACCATAGGAACATCATCAGTTAGCCACCATAGGAACATCATCAGTTAGCCACTGAAGGAACAATATTGTCAGTTAGCCACTGGCTATATTGAGGGTGAAATAATTCCATTTCAATGGGAAGCTTAGGAAAATGTTGAAGTGCAGACAAGAACAAAGTCAAGAAGAAAACAGAATTAGTAATAATAGGATGAAACTGCCACCTCCTTCCCATTGTTTTCAATTCTACCACTATTGAGCCTGATGGGTCAGTGTTAGGGCACCGTAAAGACCAAAATTAGGAGGACAATGCGTCAGGGTTACAATGACAAAAATATTTTGTGAATTGTGGGAGGAAGGTGATCAAAGCTGATTCGATAGTAAGTTATTGAACTGACAGCTTGAGAATATCTATTTAGGTACAGGTTAAGCATTTTTAGGAAATCATAAATAGATGTTCAGTTTTAATAATCATACTGATAACTGACTGAGAGTAGTGACATTGCACATTTAACTGCATGTTGAAATGACAACAACCTCTATTTTCTTTCTCAAAGGGAGAAAACCAAAGTGAAAAAGAATCTCTGGGAAGCAGAAGGACACCAGTCACATTTGAAAAACCACTCAGCAAAGAAGGTCAGAATGTTACCTATTGTGATGATAGTTGGAGCATGGGGTAAAGTACAAAGAAGGTCAAGATATTACTTATGGGAGGTGGGAGTAAAATATGTCTTTGTCTAAAATATAGTATTTGATAAAGTATTTGTCCTTGGCCCAGCAGATTGTCAGTATAGACAGTTTGAAGAACTGAATTATCTGTGAAATTACTGATTTCTTCATTCACTATCTCATTCATGCATTCAGTATACTAGATACTGTGTCATGCATGGAGTTATATGCATGCATTTGTACGTGTGTGTGTGTTGTGTGTTGTGTATATATGTTGCATGTGTTTGTTCAAGTGTACTTAACTATGAAAATGTACATGGAAGTCAGAAGTGGGAATCAGCTGTCTTCCTCAATTGCTATCCATCTTATTTTTTGAGTGAGGGCCCGTCTCTGAACATGTAACTCACCACTTTTAGCTATACTGGCTGGACAGCAAGCCCTAGGGACACATCTAACTCTAACCCCCAGATTCCAGCCTGACACTACCATGCCCAGCTTTTATATAGGTGCTGGGGTTCAGAACTCAAGAGCCTCATGCTTTCATAACCAGCCCATTTCCACCCAGTCTTATTTCCAGCCTCTCAGTAGATAGCTCTTGGTTACCTACCATGTGTTAGGTACCTTTCCTTGGCCTTGAGGTACACAAGTAAACAACAGAATCCTAATCTTTATTCATGATGAAGTCGTGTTACAGAAAAACTTAAATAGATCATGACGAAGTTCATGCTGAGCAGAGGAACTTCAGGCAGTGAAGAGTTATTAAGATAATAAAGCAGATGTGGCAGCACGTGTTTCAAGCTTCATTGCCCATCTCTTCTTTACCCTGTCAACTGGAAAGCTAATCTGCCTAAGGCTGCACACTCAGTTCTACATGGATAATTCCAAATCCATATCAAGACAATTACTTTTGTGAAACTTGATCCAGTATTTTCCCATTGGCACTACACATATATACCTACATGTTTTGAAAAAAAATATGATTAAAGTTGAATTTATCTTACCCTTATTCAAATAGGCTACCTCTCTTCACTATCTTTCCTAATATCATGCTTTTGTTAAATTCCTCAAGCTTAAAACCTCATTCCTTATTTTATTTCTCTACCATGAGTCCTATAAAGTCTGTACCTCATCTGCCTCAGTAATATCATAGAACTTTGCTGGCTTTCTTGCAATCTCTGCAATAGCATCCTGAGCTAGGCCTTTATTCGTTAAGTCATACCTACACTACACGCAGGCACTAAGTGGCTTCTTCTATTTAGGAGTCTGTTTCACTCAATTTCTCTCCTTTCCCCTCAAGCACAAATACTATGGGCATATTGTGTTACTGTAACTACCACTTTGACGGCACACCTCAGCTCAAGAGTTGTGAATAGCTCAATACTGCCTTCAGGACAAACATAAATACTTTCACTCGGCTTTATAGCACCCAGTGCATTCTGTTCTTAACCCCTCTTGCCAACACATCTTTCCCTGTATGAAACCCACATTCTAACAAACAAAAGTAGTGGCAAGGGAATCATTAGACTGGAATACGGTATTGTTTATTAGAACAGCACAAAAGTTTTGTCATAAAGCAGAAGAAAGTTTTATTTAACATCTATCAGACAATCTTTATAGTGATTTCTATTAAACAAAATATTTGAAGTGAGGTATCTTCAGTTTCTATTTGTTTAGACTTCCTAACTTTAAGAAGAAAAACTACATATATGAAAATCACAGACCGATTTGCAAATAAAGAAAGGGTTTGCAGGCTAAGGGCACAGTTGAGCATCGCAGGACTTGCCTAACATATGCAATGCCCTAGCTTCTTTCCTTGGCAATAGAGGAGAAAAGATAATCTAAACAAAGAAATCATAAAAGAAGTCGTAAGTAAATAAATTCCTAGCAATGAATACTGCTGCCATCAGAAGCAGCTCTCTGAAAACATGGCCCCATTCTTGTGAATGTGGATGCTCTTCTTTAAGAGAATCTGAAAGAACATAGGTAGAAAAAAAACCCTGAATTTAGCAGATAAATATGCAACAGACACAAATAATTGAAATGAAATAAGATGTTCGATCCAGAAAAATAATGTTATAAAGATACTAGATCTTTTCTGTTGGATCAGTGTTACATTGTTATGTGTTTACATTCTTCTCTCCGTTTACTATCCTCATATATTTTTCAAAAATAAGGAGAAAATCTCTCTAGATTCCTGAGCACGCTTATTTACTTACTTATTTTTCAAGAATATATCTGGGGTTTTTTTACTGCTCAACTCAGAACATAAAAAATGCTTTGTGGTTTTAAGCAAATGAGGTGTTTCCATCACTGACTTCCTTCTGGGTTTTCATCCCAGCCATGAAAACAGAAATAATAGTCAGCATCCCTCACCTGAAGGCAAGCCAAGGAAGCATTGCACAGGAAGTTATCTCTCTTGGATGCGATACACAGTCAGTTCTCATATCCAATCTGACTCAAATGCTTAGGTGACATATTGACAAAAGGAGATGGCTTCATTTTGGATAAAAATTCACATAAAAAATGTCAAAAGTAAGAGTTATATTCTAGGAGATATAGTTAAAACAAAGAAGATGTTATCTCACAATTTTAAAATTGTATGTGGTGTGGTGTGGTGTGGTGTGGTATATATGTGCATGTTTGTATGTGGTGTAGCATAATGTTTGTGTAGAGATAGATAGATGATAGATAGATAGATAGATAGATAGATAGATAGATAGATAGATAGATAGATCACTGTGTGTATGTAGAAAGTAGTAGGCAACTTTAATAGTCTGTTCTCTCCTTCCACGTTTCATTCTGGAATCAAACTCAAGGTCTTCTGCTTATGCAGGAGGTATCTGACATGTTGGTCTATTTCACAGACCAACTCTCACTTTTTAATGTTTTATGTGCATGCAATGAAATATGATCCTATCAATGGCATTCTCCACTTCTAACTCCCTCATATTCCCCCAAACAATCCCCCTGGCAACTTTACAACTTTTAATAACCCACTAAGTTCAGTTAGTATTGCCCTTATGGGTCACTTTTGCTTTTTCTTTAATCAATTTAACATCATTATTCAATAATCAAAAATTCATGTGCGGTATATGTGTTTGTGTGGTTGTGTGTGTATGTGTGGATGTTCATGCATCAACATTGGAAATATTAATGTATATGTGTGCACACACCTGGAGTCCAGAAGAATCTTCTTCAGTTTCCTTCCACCCTATGTTTTGAGCTGAGGCATCTCACAGAACGCGAAGCTCATAGATCCTTCTGGGTTAGCTGGTCAGTGACCTTCTGGATTCTGCTTGTCTCTGCTAACCCTCCTCCCTGACAGTGTTGGAGTTACAGATGCAGACATGCCAATTTCTATTGGATGCTCAAGATAAAAAAGTAGGTCCCTATGCTTGTTTAACAGCCACTTTAATCAAAAAGCTATCTCATCAACCCCTTCAATTCTCAATTTTTTAAAAACATGTAGACTTTATCTGTGAGAATAAAAACATATGACATAATAATTATAACTTGTGGTCTATTGTAAGGCCTCTAGAGAGGTAAAAATATTCTACTGCCTATCTGGAATAAAAGTATCAAGAGCAATAAGCAGCATAGGACTTCACATGAGAAAAAGTAGCTCAAAAAACCTACAACTAGCCTTTCTCTCACAAAATTACAAAATAGACAATGACATGTACATGGTTTTATGTGCTTGGTCTGCTATAAAGCTTTCAATAAAGTTTTACTTCAAAATAGAAGAAAGAGAGAGGGAGAAAGAGACAAAGACAGAGAAAGACAGAGACAGAAAGATAGAGAGTCCTCTACAGATAATAATACAAAGCACGGATGTGATTAGCAAGAGTGTGTACAGATGAAAATAGGAATACTACAAATCTTCTTGAGCAAAGGAAGGCAAGAAAATAAAGACAACACTATAGAATTATCATTGTAATTCAAACGACACTTTTTACAAGGAGTAGTTTGAAGGTGTAGATTGTTTTAAACTAGAACTCTTCATACACAAAAAAATTCATAAAACTTAGTAGCATAAAACTAAGAAATGCACCTTTAGGATGACAAGACTAGTCTTGTCCTTGTTTATGTGTATTTATAGGAAGAAACCTTTCGCAGCTAGTAATAAAAACTCTTTGGTGAAGCTTTATTCAACAGAGAAGCTATTTAACTAAGGAAAACTGTTTTCATTAAACAGGCAAACTTAGCAGAGCTTCACATTTTCAATTAGGACTGAGTTATATTTAAGATATTTTATCTTTAAGAAGCAAATTTATTAGTATTTAAAGATAACATGTGATACACTATTGATCTTTCTATTTTCTCCACTCAAAAAACACAGGTGCAATGTCACAAAATATGCAGGTGTTGGTTTCTGATTTTAGACTTCTTATCTTCTGCAGAACGTGGTTCAGTTTATATCTACTGAGGAAATGAAAAATGTAACATATTTTGGAATCAAATAAATATAGCTTACTAATGTCCTTTTTTGAAAACAAATCTCTGTTTTAAAGCTTCTTATATTATATTCATTTATATTACTTTCTTCTTTAAAAATACATGTATTTTCATCCATAAAATATGTACATGACTTACCTAATAATGATTCATAATTGTTATTATTTATATATTAAGTATATGCTTTAATGAAACCTTATTGTGTAGTAATAGATCAAACTCTGGTGAATCTGGTGCTTATAATGGGTAGTGTGGTAGGTTGGATACTGGCAACTTAAAGATAATTACATTGTAATGCCCTAAACCTATTAATCTGGTTGTATGCATTGAACTTTGATTCTTAGGTTGTTTAAAAAAATCTCTTTTCTTTCATTGGATATTTTCTTTATTTACATTTCAAATGTTATTCCCTTTCCCAGTTTCCCTTCTGGAAACTCCCTATCCCATCCCTCCTCCGCCAGCTTCTATGTAGGTGCTCCTCTACCCACCCACCCACTCTGGCCTCCCTGCCC